AAGTTCTGTTGAGAACTTGCAAAGCATTCTAGTTGATTGACTAGTGTGGTGATGTCTTTGTGACTTCTATAAAGATCTTCCAATACATCGGCCATTGTCTTTGTAACTTCTGTTAAGATCTTGCAATACATCAGCGATTGTCTTTGTGACGTCTGCTTAGAACTTGCAAAACATCGGCCAATTATGTTGGTCGTAAGTTCTGTTGAGAACTTGCAAAGCATTCTCGTTGATTGACTAGTGTGGTGATGTCTTTGTGACTTCTATAAAGATCTTGCAATACATCAGCAATTGTCTTTTCGACTTCTGTTAAGACCTTGCAATACATCGGTGATTGTCTTTGTGACGTCTGCTTAGAACTTGCAAAACATCGGCGAATTATGTTGGTTGTAAGTTCTGTTGAGAACTTGCAAAGCATTCTCGTTGGTTGACTAGTGTGGTGATGTCTTTGTGACTTCTATAAAGATCTTGCAATACATCGGCGATTGTCTTTTTGACTTCTGTTAAGACCTTGCAATACATCGGCGATTGTCTTTGTGACGTCTGCTTAGAATTTGCAAAACATCGGTGAATTATATTGGTTGTGAGTTCTGTTGACAACTTGCAAAGCCTCCTAATTGGTTGACTCGGGTGGTGATGTCTTTGTGACTTCTATAAAGATCTTGCAATACATCGGCTATCGCCTTTGTGCCTTCAAAGGCTTATGGATTGAGTATCTCCTCAGTGAACTTACGTTTAACAATTGGAAGGTAATGCAAACAACATGACTACTTTGTTTGTTTTCAGTTATTTACAGGTCCAACTTTGGCTTAACCGTTTGAAGCCTTGAATGCTTGAAGAGAACTTGTTTTGACGTTCAATCAGCCCTGGGGAGTTTCTCATACTGGGGACTTGTGTAAGGTTAGCCGATTAAATGCAGTTACATTTTTTGGAAAGATAGTATTCAAAGACCATTGAGGAATACTACCGTAACTGCTCGAATTAATGGCCACATCTAATACGTATCCCCTTAAAAACAACCTCCCACCTTGTAGCCAGAAAATACTATTTAAGCGCTCCTGTTTTCATGATCGAGCGTCCCCTCTTCATCCTCACCCAAGGAAGAAGAAAATCACTGAATATATCATATAATCAGAATAGAAAGAACTGAATACCATAATTTGGGTATCTTAGGAATAACAAGAGATTAAAAGGAACCCCAAAAAATTTTGGGATAGTGTTGATTGTTTATGCACTGGAAATAATGGCAATGTTCTTTTTAAGCCAAAATTTATGAGACAAAATAAGCGTCTTCCAATAACTGCCTGCCTTCGAATCTTAGGACGCCATTTTGAGCATTTATGTTACGCCAATTGAACTACTACCTTTCCTGGACACCCTTTTTGCTGAACTATGGAATTGCACATAGTAATTCTGTAAAAGCTCTGCATAGAAAGTATCATCTGTCCAGTTGTTAGAGGGCACGTTCTAGTGGTTATTATTTAACTGCTTTTGAATGCGTTTATAATGACTACTCGCTTATGCTGCACCTTGTTCAGTTTTATAAATTCCCGCTATCATAACAAAGTCATGGAGATTAATGTTACAACCGAATGATAAGGAACGAAATTCCGGATACCGGCTTTTTAAATTTCTTCTCACGTTTACGTAATCACAGGTGTTAGAAACTGTCAGATAGTAAAGTAGGCTGCTTCTCCACCGAGTAAAAGAGAGACGGAATCCAGAACTATTTATTCATATGGTCGACATGTGGAACACTGCACACTCTGACTGAAGACGTTTGAATCGTAAACAAAATTTTTTCTTGTTGCCTTATCCGGGTTGCCATCCACATCATAACACACACAAATATTACAACAACAACAAAGACAACATAAAGCACAGGAGTCGCACCTTTCGCATGTGATAGAGTAATCTATCGGCAATTAGTGTTACTTCCGTTTCATCTTTAAGTAATGGTCCAGATAAGAAGGAAAGGACCAAAACGCAGTGAACACATCGGAATGCAAAAAGGTGCTAACTTTACTATTGTCTCCACTAAGGTTCTGATTGGTTTAAACATCAAATTTTACGAAATCTTCGCAACGCAGCATGTATATTAATCCCTTTTTTTCTATCCAACTTCCTTATAACAAAATCTCGTCTGAGTCTAAGTAACACAGAAATCGTATGTGCGGATCATGTAAAATTGTGAATATTTCTTGGCCATTGTTTGCAACTCTTGTGATTGGTCGAAATGTTTTAACACAAAAATACACCCTTTAAAAGTGGAGTTTAAATACATTTTCTTTCGTAAACAGCCTTTTTGTAGATTTATGCATTCTCTGCGTAAAAATGAAAACATTTCTATGTGAGGAAAGCGTATTGCGCCACAACAAAAGAAATTGCTTCCCTTCTTACCTGGATCATTACTTAATTAACCTGTGTTGTCAAATGAGCACATCAAAGGCAAAAATGTTGACAATAGACCGCTCGCCCGTAGATTGTCTCCTAGTATTATTCCACTTTCTCTCAACTTCAGATCTCGTAAACGTGTCGATGACGTGAACCAAATTTTACAATCTTTTGGTTTGTGCTAGAAGTGTATTCAGGCTTCTTGACTTTCGATGCTTCAACAGGAGAACGATCCACATTCCCTGCGAAGGCATATGGATCAATATCATCCACATGAAGTTCCTAAGCCTCAGATTCTGCGTGAAAATAAGGAATTTTGAACCGCTGAAGGAAATGTCAAAATTAGAAAGACTGGACCTGTTTTGTACCAATGTCAGTGATGTCGATCTTGGCGAATTCATAATGAAAGGATTGAGTGGTATAAACATCGGTTGCCGTGATCGCCTGACAGCCCCCTAATTATTAATGGATTTTTTGATCGCGAGGCCCAATTTAACGATGGGCGGACTAGCTGCACTTGACAAGGCTGTAAGTAATGAGGTAAGTGAATAACAGGAACATATGTTGTAGTATTGTGTAGTGATATTGAGCATCGACGGGCTGGGAAGTAGGGGAAAAGCCCCGGGTGTACTCCAGCAAATTCTAGGTAGGAGTGTGCGAGGCGAATTAACGCCCACGTCTAATACATATCCCCTTAAAAACAACCTCCCACCTTGTAGCCAGAAAATACTATATAAGCGCTCCTGTTTTCATGATTGAGCATCCCCTCTTCATCCTCACCCAAGGAAGAAGAAAATCACTGAATATATCGTATAATCAGAATAGAAAGAACTGAATACCATAACTTGGGTATTTTAGGAATAACAAGAGATTAAAAAGAACACAAAAAAATGTTGGCATATTGTTGATTGTTTATGCACTGGAAATAATGGCAATGTTCTTTTTAAGACAAAATAAGCGTCTTATTGCAATAACTGCCTGCCTTCGAATCTTAGGACGCCATTTCAAGCATTTGTGTTACGCCAATTGAGCTACTACCTTTCCTGTATACCCTTTTCGCTGAACTATGGAATTGCACATAGTAATTCTGTAAAAGCTCTGCATAGAAAGTATCATCGCTCCAGTTGTTAGAGGGCGCGTTCTAGTGGTAATTATTTAACTGCTTTTGACTGCGTTTATAATGACTAGTCGCTTATGCTGCGCCTTGTTCAGTTTTATAAATTCCCGCTAACATAACAAAGTCATGGGGATTAATGTTACAACCGAATTATAAGGAACGAAATTCCAGCTTCTAGAAGTCAAAGGTTCAATCTACAACTCTTTAAAGATTAAACTGGTTCGCTTTTCGTAATGCTTTAGTTGTAAATGAACTCCTGAAAGATGCCATTTGTTTTGATGTCACGATGCACTTGTTCTCTGTCATTTAAATTAATATTTTGTCATGCTGTGGTTCTTGCTTTCTTTTCAATAATTGAACTAATTAAGTTTGTTTAGCTCAACACTTGAAGTAAATACAGTTGAACTTTTAAATTATTCAACTTTAGTGGATATTAGAGGACACTACTATGGAACAGGAAATCCTTTCCTGGTTAGAAACAACATACGAGAGGGGACAAGAAACTGATTTCGTTTGCAAAGAGACTTTATGGAATGAATTGGTCAATGTTGGCAGAGTCGATAGCAAGTGCAGGGAAGCTTTCTTTGCTTGTCTTGGGCGATGCATCAGTCAAAGTTCATTAAAGAGCATCACAGTAATGCGTAGCAAGGGCAAAAAAAATGGTTATAGGGGCTTGCGAAAGAAACAGGGACAAAGCGGTTTACAGCCGGAGTCTGAGTGTGAACGGTTACCATCTACCTTTTGTGAAAAAGAGCCAGAGGAACAAACAGAGAGGGATAGCCTTAACACTCATCTTCTAGTACAGGACCTACCCGCACCAACCAGCAGCTCCCCTCACAGCGAAAGTAAACGAGGCGTTAGCCACATAAAAAAGATCGTACAAAAAGATGTCCCAAGTTACCCCCATGGCGGTTATATCCAGATAATAGAGGAAAGTAGGATGGAAAAAAGAAGCGACGACGGAGTGGCCGATATCAAAGTCCAGAAAAGTACTAATTAAGAACACAGACATGGCTCTCCAGAAAAGGACCTTGGAGCCTTTCAGATAAACGAAGCACAAGAAGAATGGAATCTGGTCGAGGACAATTATTTGCAGAACGAAGACGAAGGAGAGTGGTCTGACGGTCAGAGCGAAATTGCTGCCGAGGCGAAAAGGTCACCCAAATCGAGTAAGAAACGTAAGCTGAGCAGTTCAAGTTCCAGTTCCATTATGGCGGGCTTTTGCTCATCTAATTACCAGAAAAAGCAAACAAAGGGACATTTTGGTCAGCTCAGATGAGGAGGGAGACTCGCCAGAAACGTTTTTCAAACACCACCACAAGAAATTGAAATCTTTATTACTGAAGCATCTGCCAAGGACCACCCTCAGTCTTTCCATGAATATTTGCGCAGGGTTTTGGACATACCAAACACAGAAATTCCAAGACGAATCACCATTCATAGCAATTCAGGGGATACAGGAAATCACAAATCTGCCCCTTGCCGATCATTCATGGCTGCATCCTTCAGTCCGGTTAAAGTGGGCCAGGTAGCCGGCTCGCAGATACAGCACACATTTCCTGGAGACGTATTTCCACAATTTACACATCATGGAAAAAGTGATTATCACTGCGAGCTTTGCGGTCCTTTCCTCAGGTGGGCCTAGAAAAACGGTGTCAAACATTCTGCATACAAGTCTACCAAAGTAACAACTGATGATATAATAAACGATACTGCCATCATTTGATCCTCTGGTATGACACAAGTTAACGAACACTTTAATTCCAAAGTTCACCAGGAAGCTATTGCCTTTTTTAAACGTGATTTTTCAGAGGTGGTAAAACAAGCGGACGCAGATCAATCCAAGGGAAAGAAAGTGGCTATAACAAACTATTTCGCGCCAAAGAATTCTTTCAACTGAATACGACCTCTGGTTCCACTAAAGAAGATGGCACACCACGTAATGTCAGATTTCTTTATTACTGGGATCAAGAGGTCATAAAACACTTTAAAGATGATGATGATGAGAAAGGGGAAATGCGAGAAGAACCAATCCACCTGCTAGGATACTCCACAGACTCGGCTGGCTTCTCTCTGTCAGCGGCTGCACATTTGATGACCCTGTGAGCTCAAGAAACTTCCAATGGGCTATATTATCTTGGACTCGGTGTCGATGACGAAAAATTCCTTGCTCCGTACTATTGGTTCCTTCCAGCAATTTGCTACCTTGACTATGACCACGAACAGAGGCTGTTTTAAAAAATCTAAAATACGAGACAAGGCAGTTGACATTCTGGAAAGAAGACGGTTCAATCTCTTGAATGGCCTCTGTGCAATATTTGAAAGATCTTAGACAGCAATGCAAGGAAAGAGGGCTGGATTCGGGTCTTAAGGCAACAGATCTTATTTTGATCTACTTTCCCGATCAGAACTCTGGCGCCTGTGAACGGCTTTTCACAGAACGGGTTGCCGATCTCCTGGACACTTGTGTACCTGGCTCCCAGGGAACAAGTGTCTATATTCGCTCCATGTTCCACTTGATTGAACCTTTCAGAAAGCCCAATTTTAGCTCGCTGTCTGATGTCCAACAGTCAGTCTCTTGCGGCATTACTATTTTGCGTTTGTGGAGAAAGGTCGTGGAGCTGCAGAAATTTCCTCTTCATTCGAAACCTGGCGCTAAGAAGACACTAGAAAACAGAGGAAACTTTGTGACTCGGGGATGTTACCTCACAGCCGAAATCCTATTTGCTGCTGCCACCTTGCACCAACTTGCCATGTTTGTTCATTTCCCCAACGAGGCTAGAGCGTGGGCTTCACCTTACAATTCGGGAATGAAAACAACCGAGAGGATAATAAGTGAGTTGCAAGGGAAAACAACTGAATTGCAGTCTTTAGATTCACAGCCAACGTTTGGAGACATGCTGGACAGGAGTGCAAAGGTGCAGTTCAATCTAAACGCAAAGAGGAGGATTGCAGCTGCCGGTATAGAGGTGAAATCGTCTTCAAAGAGGAAGCAGCGAGCCTTTGCATTCAAGCATAGCGGGCGACCTACAATCACGTAAGTAGTTGGGAAGGTGGAATAACGTAACAACATTATTGCCCCATTTCATACACCTTATGTCTATGTTCAAAAAAGATTAAAATTTGGTCTTCTTCTGAATACCCCCCCGTGCCCCCTATTCAATTTTGGGCAGACAACAACAATTACACACAAAAACAATTTAGTTTTGTCCAACATTGATCCAGGGGGCAGAGGAGACAAGTACAAGAAAGGTAAAAATTGGTAACCTTCCCAACATTTTTGACGATGATTGTGTGAGAATAGACAATTGTCTTTTAACGCTTGTAAAACATCTGGCTTTTAACATTTCGCTGAGTTTTCTCACCCTGGAAATCTATTGATAATGTACTTTACAATGTGTATATAAAATGGAATAAAGCTTTAGTTTCGTTAAAATCACCATCATGAGATCCTTGTATCTTGCATGGTTGACATGTCAAAGCATGACCAGAAAATCCACTAGCATGTGTAGATTGTTTTTTAACAACGCCGGAAAAAACCTTTACGTTGCTTACTTTTCGGCGACAGATTAAATGAAGGTTCCTTGTTTGGAGAAAATGGAAAGAATCGCCATAGCTTGTCTGTTTCATTACATAAAATTAGAAGACATGAGAGCAATTAGTGCTAAATGTCACACGTTTGTTGTTATGCATTTTTGCGTCTGTTCAGTTACCCAGTTTCACTTTGTGTCATTTCAGTGAGTGCGATGATTTTAAAGACGAAACAAAGAGAAACAACTTGAAAAACAGCTACAGTTAGCAGAAGGCTTAGGGACAATAAACGTTTTCGAGAAACACCGGAAAATTCTAGTCCCACACGTATGGGTGAAACCTGTGGGCCGGGAGGGGTGTGACATGAGTGCAGAATTTTCTAGACTGTATTCTCTTAGGCTCTGAATTCCGAAAACCTATATATAACAAGCTGTTGATTGTCCAATACAGAAATAAATAACTACAATCATTGATTATGCAATGGTATTCAGAGGAAAAATACCTCCAGAGAAAAGAGCATTAGCAATATTTTTACGCAAGAATCTGGCCTGAGTTATCCGAAAATTGCTGAGAAATGTAACATTTCAACCTTCTCCGCCGAAAGAATTTGCAATGAGAATCTTTTTCAAAGACAAAACTCGGGCCACTCAAGGAAACGTGGTCGACCAAGAAAGATTTCAATCCGTATGAAGTGGTTATTGAAAAGAAACCTCTTGAAACTGAGGAGACAAGGTGTAGCAGTAAGTGTTGAGAGACTTGTCACTTATAGTGGACTAAGCCTTCAAACCGCAAGTATTCGCATGTATTCCAGATGCTTAAATGAGATGGGTTTCTGGTTCTTACAAGCTAGAAAAAAGGGTCTTCTGAAAGAAAGTGACAAAAAAGACCGGCTTCAGTATGCAAGGAAAATGGCACGCTACGAACGAGATTTCCCAGGTTTTTGGACTGATGAAGTAGCTTTTTATTTAGATGGTGTGTCTTTCGTATACAAGACCAATCCCATGAGCACAGCAATGGCTCCAAAGGCAAGAGTATGGTGTCAGAAAAGCGAAGGCTTGCAAGTAACCAGCAAAGGCTCGAAAGATTTAGCGCGAGAAAAAAGGCTGCACGTAATGGTTGCAATAGCTTACAGAAAAGGAGTTATTCTCAAAAAGCCCTGTGACAAATTGAATGGCCAGTTCTTCGCCAATTTCATTACACAGCATTTTAATTTATGTTTCGGACGTGCAGGGCCAAAACGAGATGGAAAGCATCTATTTGTTATGGATAACGATCCAAGTCAGGTGTTCAAATTAGCTATGAGTGTTCTAAGAGAAATTGAATGCGAACTTTCGAAGATACCTTCTCCTTTGCCAGACCTGAACCCATGTGAATCTATTTTTCATATTGTCAAAGATTCATTACACAATGAAGAGATTGAAAAACACATCAACAAAGAATCATTTGACGACTTCAAAAACAGAGTGTTGCACACATTTAGCGAGATGGATACTGTTGTCATTGATAAAACCATAGAAAGTATGTCCAATAGTGTTCTATCAATTATTAAAGGAAAGGGTTGTCGAACCAAGTATTAAACAAACGTAAACAAGGTATTTTAATGCTAACATACTTCAGTTCTTACACTATATTATGTTTACATGTACTGACGATGTCATAAAGGGAATAATATAATAAATTGGAGCTTCAACAATTTACAGTGTGATTATCTTTTCACGCTAATGGTGTCACCTGTCAATCATTAAGCTATTTTGAGAACTGTAAACCACACGATTTTCACAATACTCCAGCACATTACTCCATAAGAAAGTCCCACATACATCACCAATGAACCAACATTCTTGCGCACAAAGTACAAAAATATGTAAACCGTATTAGAATATGTTCCATTTTTCCTTCATTTTTCTACAGAAATAAACGTAACCAGTGATTTTCAACATTACTCCATTGAAACAGTGTCTAATAAAGGTCAATTATTTAAGTCAAGTTTAATTTAAATGCTAGCTGCGGAGTAATGTGGTATTTTCCTTAGAAAAACGCTAAAATGGCCCTTAAAAAGCATAGCACTAACTCCCTTCAAAGTCCTGCACAATTCTATATAACTTTTTTCTCTTTGGAGCTACTATAAACAAAATAATTTCGGCTACTTAAATGGAGTAATGTGGCCTCCCATGTTCGCACCTTTAGACACATTGCGTAATCAGATTAGCGAAGACAATAGACGCACTACTCTGAGTTATTTTAAAAGACTCTACTCAGTGATGTCTAAAATCAGTTTTGAAAAGCAGTAACCACAAGGAATTAACTGGAGCTGTTCAGCTAGTGGAATTTGTCTCAAGAAGTGGACAAATCTCCACCTTACATTCATCATTTCAGTGTTTGCGTGGCAAACACTTCCCCCCTTTATGTAAACAATTGGCGCTGATGTTGCGAAGATAGGGGTATCGTTGCTAAGCTCAATGTCCCATTTCGAGAAATTTTTGGGAGCTGGGAAATGCACTATATCTCCCTCTAGCAACAGGAGCATGTCACCCATCGTAGGTGAGCTGCGTTACTTCATGTTCTGCCAGAAAAAGCAGAAAAACGAAATGCTTCCACGGACGTCTGATTGTCTACTTTAACATCTACAGCGATCAAACTACCAGGCCTTCGTCTGAAGGCATGCTCTTGAAGCGATGCAAGATCTCGAGTCACCAGAGGGTCATGGATGGGTGAGGGATGAAAAGCATCTTTTACCATTGCTAATGACAAAAGCACTGGCTCCAGAAAGTCTCCTCGAAATGACGACGTGTAAGTGCAGGACGTCTTCCTGCTTGCGAAACTGCTCCTGCAACAATACAGGGCTTTCTTGTACTGAAGGGTGCTACTGCATGGCCAATGGTGAAGTATGTAAAAACCCGCATGGTGTTACCTGCATAAGTGACTCTGAAGAAAGCGATGAGGAGTGAAAAGGCTCTCGAACTGTTAAATTGTTTAATTTTTGACGTATATTTTCTACAGAGCAAATTTATAAAGGCAGAAATATTGCTATCAGTAATCTCCTATACAGTCTTTTACTTCACTGACAAAAGTGCCTTGTAAACAACAGATTTTGTAAGATAACATAAGTATCGACGTATATAGCACTGAAATAGATATTTTGGCTCGTCTGAGGTCACGTGCTCGGTCATGTGACCTTGCTTAGCAAAGTTTGAGCATGATTGGGATATAATTTGTTAAGAAGTAACGATATTAGAGGTTTCCCTTGATCAACAATTGCAGATAACGCCCTATACAGAAGCTACCGGAAGGAGCCTCGTTTTCATGTTGACCAGGAAATGGGAGAAAAATTGTCATTCTTTTATTGTTTCAGTTTCAATAAGCTAGAAATTGTCTTAAAGTGCGTAATGCACCAACAGTACGTATAAATTATCAGAATATCTATGAATAATTAACACATTTATGGTAATGAAGACGTTAAAATAGGCTACTAAAAGCTCGAAAACACCATTTTTGATGCTGCAGCTGTCACGTGACCTTAATATAAGCAATCTAAACTTGATTAAGATTTGTGCTACAAAGGTGTATCGATATTTGTAGATTCACGTCAAAATAAACGTTTAATTTACGCATTATCGGTGGTCTTGTATCTTAGCCTCGTTTCCATGAATTTAAAGGGGTGGCCTATTAAAATAGCCGCGTAACTCGTAACCTATACCACAAATCAACTCTACTAACTAGCTCACATTGGTCAGCAGGTCTTGTTCTATCAAAATGCGCTATCAAACCTTTTCTGACTCGATCATTGTGCGAAGCCCTTCTTTTAGGGTCCTGGCTTCCGGACTAATAGAGTTCTTAGCGATTTGTCGGATGTTTATCTGAGAGCAAATCAACAATTACAGAGAAAGACTGCAGAAATAGAATGATTGACAACCGATCAATCGGTGGTTCTGGTTCGTCCATTGAGAGATTTGTTGCTGTGTACAGAATGTGAGACGTATGTAGATTTGACACCTTGTTCTCAATTGATGCCTAAATTTGTTTGCATTGTGTGGGTGTGAATGACATGATTTTCCAAGTACAAGATTGTTTCTGCACTGGTTAAGCATGGCTACTGCAGATAATAATATTTCTTCTTATAGCATCGTCAAATTGCGTATTAACAAACCTAGAGTTTGTTTCAACATTTGCACGAGAGTACCGATTTACAAAAGAGTGATTGGACTGGTAGATGGACTAAATTTTTAAAGACTACACGAAGCTACATGTTATTCGAATCCATTCAATGCGAGGGGTGTTGGTTGTGTTGTTACAAAGAGGATTCAGAACAGACTCAAAGTCGTATTTTGAATATCGCATTTCCCGATCATTCGTTGGTGTCCCAACAAGTGCAACTTACCTTTCATCTTTCACATGTCGCAGAAACTTAGTACTTTGGCTAGGTACCTCAAGCGCATGGATCCTCATTTTCAGGGAATCAACATTCCCACTTGCCATCGTGATGATAAAGTGCGTTTGGTAGAGTGTAAAT